TGACACTAGGAAAGATACTCTGCTAAGCTTGCAGACAGGAGCCTGTCAGAGTTGTCCTCTGAGAGGCTCTACTCAGCAGCACCTCAAAACAGATGTTGAGACCCATAGCTAAACATTGTTCTTGCTTATGGGGTCTTGGAGAATAGTTGGAGGAAAGAGATAAGGACCCCAAAGTGACAGGAGCTCCACAAGGAAAACAACAGAGCCAACTAACCAGGGTCCAGAGGTATTTGCTGAGACTGAAGCATCATCCAAGGACTAGGCATGAACTGGACCTAGGCTCCCTACAGATATGAAGCAGGACAACTTAGGCTTCAAGTGGATACTCTAGTAAGGGAAGTAGGGACTGTATCAAACAGGGACTCACTTGCTAGTGTTTAGATCACTTTGCCATGGCGGGACTGCCATGACAGGCCACAGAGGAAGAGGACAAGTTCAGTTCTGATGCAACTTGATGAGCTGGAGTGGATAGAAAAGGGAAGTTCCCCTTTTCTAAGGAAAAGGGAGGGGGGATAAGGGAGAGAGGGTGGGACTGGGAGGGGAGGAGAGAAGGGGCTACAACGATGTAAAGTGAATAAAATAAATAAAGGAGATTTAAAAAAGAAAAAAAATTACCTGTGTGAATTCATCATTGTTTACATATCTGGTCTGCTCTCTGTGGCTCTCTAGGTTGTTGCTATTGTTTTCCATTATTAAGCAACATGGGAAAGAACATATATATCTGTGGACATCAGAGACTTATTGGTTTAAAACCCAGGAAGCAATGCATCAAAAATACATTGAAAATATAGGAAGTAGGGTGATTATTCAACATTCCTAAGGTCTCTTGCATGACAAAGGGGCTTCAGATCCAAGAAGAGCATTTCTAAGATCCCTTGTCTTAAGGTTCAATTGAAAATAAGCTGCTAAGAGCATTTGAGATAGAGGATGAGAAGTTATTGCTCTCTGGAAATATGGGAGGTCTTGTGTACACAATGAGCTTAGTTGTGGTCTTTGGCACAGAGACAACATCATGAGCATGGAACCCTTCTGTCCTGCATACACTAAGCCCTATATCTACCCCAGAGCATCACCTGTATAGGTAATGCAGGGAGATAAGTTATCACTGGTGACCAGAAGATTAAAATTTTCTGGATTCTTTACAAGAGCCTTCCCGATCCCTATTGTCCAAGTCCCCAGCTGAGGTGTCAGGCTTAGTACAACCTTCCAGAATTGTTGCTAGATGTCTTGTGTTCTGATAGAATCTTGGATGGCACAGCACCTACTGCTAAATTGCTTTCCAGAAAACATTTCTCAGAGAAACGGCAATAGCAGCAGGCTCAAGAGTGGTATGCCTTCACATGGTGAACCAGGAATTTCCAAGCATTTTCTGAAGTCAACAAAGTAATACCTAAAACACACAAAATTCAATGGTGGCTTATATTTATATTTTTTTTTTGGTTCAGATATTTACTTGACGTTTTCTGATATTACTTGATTTTTACTGGCAAATTTTTCCTGACTTTTATGAATTGTATATTCATACGTTTGGCTGTTATGCCTCCTCTTTTGACTAACAAAGCTTCCCAAAGATTCTCCTTTATAACAATATATCTTTGTATGACACAGATTTCCCTAATTTAAACATCAAAGGCTATTTACTACATTAGTACATTAGATTTGGGCAAAAGTCATATAATTGCACGCAAGTAACTATTTTATTTGTGTAGAAGATTGCCTGAGGTATTCATTGGGCAGTGATGGAAGGAACAAATTGTTCAGCCTCTTTCTTCTCCTAGCACTTGAGATAAAAAAATGCTCAAATATGAAGACCATGCTAAAATGAAATCATTTTAATAAAAATAATCTTATTTTTTTTAAATTATGTTGTTCACTGGTTTTCCATTGTTATCCATTTCTTTCACCACTTGTCCTCTTTTGGACCAGGTCTGTGTTAAATCAGACCTTGCAATAAAAGAGAGAAATTCCTGTCAAAAGGATAGGTTCATGCAATATTGTTTCTGAGATACTGAGAGAAACATTGTCAGTAGAAAAGGCTATCACACCCTTTTGAACCAAGAAATGAAAAAATGGCAACAAACACTCTTTAAGTGAAGAAATAGTTTCCTGTCTTCCTCTACAGGTTGAGGGTGAGAAGGCAAGAAGAGAGAAGGGAAATTGGGGTTAGGACACCAGTGTGACAAGCTGGAGACATGGGATGAGGGAGGCTCCTGGGAAGATATGGGTCTGACCCTAGCTAAGACTCCTATCAGTGAGGGTATACTGAGACTAAAGTGACCACATCCTGTAGCCAGGCAGGACTTCCAATTGACGGATAGGCACACCAACCCATCCACAAAACCCTTGACCCAAAATTTGTCCTGCCTACAGGATGAACAGAGATAAACAATGGAATGGAGGTTGATGGGATGGCCAACCAATGACTGGCACAACTTGAAACCCACCTCATGAGAGAGAGCCAACCCTTGCCAGTATTAATGATCTTCTACTATGTTTGTAGACAGGAGCCTAGCATAATTCTCTTCTGAGAGGCTTCACTCAGAAGCTGATAGAAACAGATGCAGATGTTGATGACCCAAGAGAGGATGCTTGAATCTCACTCAAAAGGGGATTACTGTGGGGAGAGTAGGAGTTGGGGGAAGAGGGCTGGGAGATAGAAGAGAAATTGATAGGATGGGGTGGTTCCTGGGAGCCTATAAGGGTAACCCTAGCTGAGACTCCTAGCAACATGAGTTATGGAGCTTGAAGTGGGCAAGTCCTGTAGCCAGGTGGGACTCCCAGTGGAAGGAAGGGTCACCAACACACTCACAACATCTTTGACCCAAAATTTGCCCTGCCTATAAAATGTGCAGGGATAAAATTAGAGCAGATTGAGGGAATGGTCAACCAATGACTGGCCCAACTTGAGAACCATCGTATGAGAGACACCCAACCCCTGACACTCTGCTGTTCTTACAGACAGTACCCTAGCATAACTGTCATCTGAGAGGTTTCATCCAGCAGATAACAGAAACAGAGGCAAAACCCTATAGCCAAGCATTAGGCAGAACTCAGGGAGTCTTGTGGAAGAGTTAGCAGAAGGATTAAGAAAGCTGGAGGGGTCAAAGACACAACAAGAAGACCTACATAGCCAGCTAAACTGGCCCATGAGGGCTGATAGAGACTGAACTACCAAACAAAGAACATTCATGGACTGTTCCTAAGTCCTCTACACATATGAAGTTGATGGGCTGCTTGGTTCTCAAGTGAATCCCCTAACAATTGGAGTGGGGCTGGATCTGACTTGGACTCTGTTGCCTCCCTCTGCATCCCATTTCCTTAGCAGAGCTGCCTTGTCTTGGCTCAGTGAAAAAGGAGACACTTAGTTCTGATGCGACTTGATGTGTCAAGGTGGATTGATAACTGGGGTAAGGATGTGGGGGAGGTGAGTAGGAGGGTGGGACTGGGAGGAAAGAAGGGAGTGGGGCTACAGTTGGCATGTAAAATGAACAAATAAATAAATCAATGAACCCCAAATAAATAGATAAATAGAATGGGATAGATAGATAGATAGATAGATAGATAGATAGATAGATAGATAGATAGATAGATAAAGGAAGAGAACAAAAATAGAAGATGGTTGTGAACATGTATTCTTAATTTGATGAAAATTAACTGGAAGTGAAGACAAATAGCTTGACTTTGGTTTAGACAGGAATAGAAATGAAGATTTACAAATACACTTGGTAGTTACTAGGTCCAGAAAAATGTGTTTCAATGGATTCAGAGACAGTCAACATAGAACAGAAAAAGTCTGGTCGAGGACAAAGGCTTCCAAAGCTCGAGAAGGTGAGAAGAACCAAACTGAGGCCGCAGTCTTACCTCGCTCTGGTTCAGAATGTAGCCATGACAGATATTGTTTTTCTGAAATGACCCCAAAGAAAGCAACGAAGAGTATGCTATAATATGTTTAGGAAAAGAGAATTTCCTAATGCAGGTCCCCACCATTTCCTGACATTTGGCTGATTGATGTGAAGTACTTGAAGATGAGATCAAAATTGTTTTAATTCTCCTGATTTGGAAACATGGCTTTGTTTTCAGTTATGGAAAGATTGTAGACTGATACCTTAGGGGTTTGTACACAAAATATCAATCTTTAACAATGACGCTTGATTATTGCTGGAGATCGGTGAGCAATAACTTAGGCATTATGGGGAATAAATCACTGTGGGCATAAACAAAGTTCTTGGGGCAGCTTGGTTAATCCTTTGCTGTCACTCCTATATTGTTATTTTCCAGATTTTAAATATTAAATATTTATCTTAAATATTAAATATTTATCTTAAATAGTAAATATTTTTAAAATACTGTTTTAATTTTATTTCTGAAATTATACTATAACATTTCTTCCTTCTCTTTCTTTCCTTAAAACTGCCCCATATGCCTTTCCCTGCTTTCCTTCAAATTCCTGGCCCCTTCTTTCATTAATTTTTCTTGTGTGCCTGTATACAAAAGCATATTCATATATGTGCATTCAAAAATACAACCTGTTTATATATTAGGTATATTAAGTTATATTTATTGTATACAATGTATTTTATGTAATATAATATAAACTGATCAGTCCCCTTGTTACTTATTTGTATGTTTTCAGGAATGACTATTTGTCCCTGGAAAAACAACCTTCCCTAGGGTAGGTTACTTGTCTTGCTCCCAGTGTTCCTCAGTGGCCTGTAGTTCTTTGTGCAGGGTTGAGGCCTCTTGGGCTTTTCCTCATCCAATTTGGCATATCCATTGGTGTAGTGCTTTTAAACTGGTATATTAATTCTTTTGTTCATTTTCTATATATGTTCTCTCAAAAAAAGAATAAAGGATTGTTGATTTAGGATATTCATAGGGCCACAAGGCATAGTTTGCATGTAATCATGATCTGACACTCACTGAGGAGCAAGGACAAAACAAACAGAAAACTAATAGTACAAGCACTAATGCAGAAAATTTGCTGTTTAAATCTTTTACAGATAACAAAACCTACTGAAGTCTGAGATTTGAGTATGCTGGAAATAATTCCCCACGAAAATTACAATGAGGTTGTGAGTAAGAATTAAAGGATACATAAGAAAAGGCACACTTATCTGGAATCAGGATGGAAACGAGTATAGCAAGACGAAATGGAGTATGTTGCATACTTCATTGCCAGAGAAAAGGGTTTCTTGCTGGGAGAGAGTGAAAAACTTGGAAGGGCTTCTCTGCTGCCTCCTGGCTATTTTTAGATGGATCCTAAGGTAAGTTCACAGCCCCGTGGAGCTTCCAAATGTTTCTGGTGGCCTAAGTCTCACTGTAGATGTCTCATTATGAGTTAAATACATTCCTGATATTTGTCCTTATGACAGTTAAGACTCCAGAATTTCCTCAGATCTGTATTGTTCAAGCTGCTCTGAAGGATAGGTAATCTGTTTAATGAAATCAATGTGAGCTATATTTTTTAAATGTTTATTACATACTGACTTGAGAGAACAGTAATGTGTATATTTGTGTATTCCATATAGAGAACATATTGAATGTAAAGAATATTACAAAGTTGCAGAAGAAACTAACTAATGTACAAATGCACAGTATCCAATTAACTTTAGGATTTGCACTGACCAAATTCAGAATTATGTTGGTGTGTGTTGCCTGTCAGATTGTTTCTGAACCATTGTGAATTTTGTTATAGAATGTAAATACATATTTGTAATAGTTAATGTTTATTGAATATTACATATTTATACCATACAAAATTGTTCTCATACATCTGCAGCAAGTAGATTGTGGCAATTGTTAAATTATAACAGGGCTGAATCCAAATATTTTGAAGTGAGGAGAGCATTTGGTATCTTCAGTTTCTTTTATGAATAGGAACTGGATTTTTCTGACTGACTCTAGTTAACCATTTGTGATGCAGTTTTCCTCAAGAAGAGCACTCTATTTTAGCCTATTGTATTCTTCTCTTTGAATATACACACGTGCAGAACAAAGGTTTGTTAGTATCTGTCAACTAGAGAAAGCTACAGGTATATGCTTGGCGCTACTTCCCTGACAATTTCAGTTTTCCTTTAATGTTTTTTTTTTTTTTAAATTTTATTTGTGCACTCATACGTGTATGCACTTGCCTCTGTGTGTGCGTGTGTCGTGTGTGTGTGTTTGTGTGCGTGTGTGTGTGTGTGTGTGCACAGGGATAAGAGAGAATGTCAGACTCCCTAGTCAGCTATGAGCCATCTATTAGGGGTCCTGGAAAGCAAATTCGTGTTCTCTGGAAGAACAGGATACTCTCTCAACTTCTGAATCTGGCCCCTGACACTTTTCCTAAGATTAACAAAACTTAAGAAGTTGAAGTCACCTGAAGCAGACTGAATGATGTCTAGACATATACTCCTGGAGTTTGTGAAAATGAGCTTATTCTGAAGAATGGCTGTCTGAAGATGTAATTTAGTAAATAGGAGAAGCACCCACCAATTCATTGTTGAGCCACAGCCCAATTCAGTTCACTGTGTTGTTTTTATTGACTGGTCTAAGATGCTCCTAATTTTATATAAACATTTGAGTTCGGGATACATTGCTTATAATAATTGACCAAGACTCTTTGTAGTATTATATAGTAAATATAACTGAGTATCTTATACTATACTATTATGTTATGTTATATTATATTATATTATATTATATTATATTATATTATATTATATT